GAGGTCGAGATGTTAATGCGCTTCGCTCTCACAGACCATCCTTGCCACAGATTTCAACAACTATGTCAAAGGCGAAGTTTACCAGGCGTTCATGCATTCTGTCCTGGGAAGTGGTGTCTTCAACGCTGACGGTGCGTATGGAAGTCACCAGTCTACTTGTCGTCAAAAATCTCATGTTGCCCATAATATGAAGGCGAGATGTGGAAGTGAGTTCATTTATTCCGTTCATGATCCCTTCACTCATACCGTAGCAAGGTTTCATCGGTCCATGACGCGACCGTTCTTCAGCCGCGATAGGATTAGTCACTTCGACATATTCGACAAACACTCCGGTAAGTTTGAGTGACGTCCTGTGATTGCTCACAGATCACTGCTCGTCGTCGGTACACTGAACGCGTGGTACTCCTTTTTGACAGATGCAGCGCTGAACAAGATGAAAGAGCGGCTTGCGGAAGGACATGCTGTTGATTTTCAGGTACGTTGGCTAGTATCGTCCATGTCAGTATTCCGACCTCTGACTCTCCACTCCAATAGGATCTCATTTCTCGCTTCACTCTTGATTCTGCGTCTGAATTCCTCTTCGGGAAATGTGTCAATGTGTTGGAATCCCCGCTACCCTACCCACCCCGGTCTCCCGAAGCTGCTCGACAGGTGGGCGTGCTCAGCCTCGCGGATAGATTTGCTCGTGCATTTGCAAGGGCTCAGGATACTATCGCAAGTCGAGGAAGGTTGGGATATATTTGGCCATGGTTGGAAATCTTTAAAGACAAAACAAAGGATGACATGAAGATTGTTGACGCCTTTTTAAATCCCATCTTGAAGGATGCGCTCGAGAAAAGGAGAAACGAAGTGGAGGCTGGATTATGGCAAGACGTGGACGGCGAAGAAGTCGCCGACGAGGATACATTCCTTGACCATCTGGTTCGAACGACAACGAGTAATTATTCGCAGTCGATTTAATAGGCTACAGCTATGTTGACTATTTGTTGGCAGACTCTCAAATCATTCACGATGAGATTTTGAACATTCTCATCGCAGGCCGGGACACTACCGCCAGTACCTTGACCTTCGCCGTGTACTTCCTATGCATGTATCCGCATGTGCTAAGGAGGCTGCGCAAGGAAATCCTGGAGACAGTTGGGCCTTCTCGTAGACCGGACTATAACGAGATAAAGGACATGAAGTACCTCCGAGCTTTTCTAAACGGTAAGTCCTGGACTTCTCTGCTCATGTGAAGATCGCTTAACCGAATTTACCTATGTAGAGGTCTTGCGGTTGTATCCTGCTGTGTGAGTACCTCCGAATCTCTCCCAGCGCCAGGCTACTAACAGCTGCGTTACCAGGCCACTCAATATTTGGCAAGTATTTATGAGCTTGTAGATTCGCTCCACTCACGAGCAAATGATAGTTATGCTGTCAACGATACCACTATACCCAACCCGGAACCAAACGGCAAGCCGTTTTTCATACCTGCCGGTCAAGGGTATGTATACCAACCAACGCACCTCAAATTATGTGACTTAGTGAATTCATCTATACCAGTATCACCTACTCGGTGTTTTTGATGCATCGCAGAAAGGATTACTGGGGAGAAGATGGTCCGTACTTCGTTGCATCCCTTTACAATTATCTGACACGGCTGGCAGCGGAGGAATTCGACCCAGACCGCTTCCTCGACGAACGCATCCAGTATATCCTCAAGAACCCATTCATCTTTCTGCCCTTCAACGCCGGACCGCGTATCTGTCTCGGGCAGCAATTCGCATACAATCAAATGTCGTTCTTCCTCATTAAACTGCTCCAGAATTTCTCGGAGATGTCGTTACGGCTTGATTGTCAAGATCCCAAAACACTCCCGCCAAAAGAATGGGCCTCGTGTCCAGGGAGGAAGGGTATTGAGAAGATGGTTGTTAAATCGCATTTGACCGCGTACACAAACGTGAGCAGGATGTTTTTCATTGCGTAGTATTCTGATCGAGTAACTAAATTTGTATTATCTGTCATTCTAGGGTGGTTTATGGGTGAAGATGACGGAAGCGTAGCGTAGATGATGGGATTGCCACGATGTCGGTTGTATTCACCCTTCCTGCATTCATGCTCAACAGATATTTCAGTGATATTCATACATTTTCTCTGGATAGGAATGTTGCGCTCAGATACTGAAGGCTTCCCGAATGTCTCATCGATAATTTACCATGCCCTGCTTCGCTTGGACTTGCAAGGACTCAAATCACCCTTCAAATGTACACCGCTGGTTGCGCTGTTTTTACACAGACGAATTACCATCACCTCAAGAGCCATAAGTAAATCCGAGTCAGTGGGTATACATCGTAGAAGTCACCCCATCGCCGTCCACTCTGAAATCAGCCCGGACAGAATCATGGCTAAGAGTCGAGGGCCTCCTGCAACAGTTGTGCGTCTGAGCCGTCTTATTGATATTTGACTGTAGATATAAACTCTGGTCGGTGCCTCGGTCAGGAGACAACCCCAACTGATTAAAATACCAGTGCTTTCGGCCTCGTTACCACATTTTGTTTGTGCAGTACCAGCAGCACTCATCATTACACAGGCTCAAACAAGTACCCCGACTCTGCCAGATTGCCAGCCCCTGAAACTGATAGCAGGAGGCCTTGCATTCTCCGAGGTGTTCTGCCAGGACTTCAATGAAACGGATCACCTGGCAGGGCTCCAAGGCGCCCCGCCCGCCTCTAGAGCCATCTCACTGGCACCGCAATGGTGGAGCACCTGTGACTGCGTCCGGCTTCATCGCGGACGAAGTACAAAGTCAAAAGCTTAAACATACTCTGAAGTGGCGGGCCAACACGTTTGGGTAGACTGGAAAGGCAAAACTCATATTTGATTTTTCTTCAGCGTTGATAGATGCGACAACGCCTTGTGGTGTCGAAGGGGTTGAGGTGGAGACAGCAACCCCCCAAAAATGAGGCAGCACGTCCAAGTATCGGTACTTCAAGGTATATAAACCCTGCAGCTTCAGTCAGTGGTCCTCATCCTGCACTCGTATTCAAACTTCGATCCATCCAAGCACAATTACACAAGTACGCTACAAGTGCATTTTAACTTACGCTCATCCAACGTACTCACCTGTTCCTATTGTCGCAGTATGATGTTCAAGTCTACCCTCGTCGCATTCGTCGTCGCCACTGTCGGCGTGCACGCCATCTGCCCAGGCTTCAACTTCGGTATCGCTGACCTCGGCAATCAGAACTGTGCGTACCCCCCGCCCCCCTCCGGGATGGCTGCCCGATGACGCTTACCTGTCGACTGTAGACCGTATCTACGACGACGCTTGCAATGTCGTCGAGACCGACATCTTCACTGGCATCAACCCGTGCACCAACGGCAAGTTCAGCTGCTCCCCTCCTCCGATCACCATTACTGGTGCTCAAATTGAAGGCTCTCAGTCAGTGCCCATTCAACCTACCGACCTTTCTTGGTGTGCTTATTACATATGTGCAGGTACGCTTGTCGCGGCGACCCTAACTCTGGCTCTTGCAACGGAGAGACCATCAATGTCTGCGTAAGTTTGCCTTTACTTTTGCTTGGACTTTCACATTCTGACTTCTCGTCACAGTGCCGCAACGACGGAAACTAGATTTCTTGGTGAAGACTCATGTTGAACCAATCGATACTTGACCGTTTCCAATTGTGGACATGCCTGCTCCGATAATATGATGCATTTGAACCACCGAATGTGGCAGCTAGCTCGACAAAAACCCTCAGTACCTAAACGGCAGGACGTCAGGGTACGTACCACAAGCGACTTTCGAACGGCAATCCGATTCGTGTCTTCCTAGAAAGTCAGTTCCGGTTACAGTATTGTTGGTCGCGTGATTGGTGCAGATGCTGTGGCTTGTTGGTGCTGCTGTCAATTTGCACCGAAGAGGCCATTGACCTGCCTTTGACTTCAAGCACAATGTCAACACCCTCCCAGGTCCCACGTTTTGCCTCCTGCTCTAACCCCGCTCACTACGGCCTCATGCAGCCAATGGCCCGCCCAGCAATATTATTGTTGAGTACGCTTGTCATCGTGCTCTGCAATATCCTCCAACTCGGGATCAGATGGACGAGGGAAAGGGAGAGATGCAACTGCCAAGCCTCGTCTTCTTCGTGTTTCCCAGCGGTCGAGTCGGAGACATTTAGTGAGTTGTTGAGCCAAATAGCTGAAGGCTCTCCAGATAGCCTAACGTAGTCATAGCTTGGAAGGGCACTGATTTTCCGCCGTACTTGCCCATACAATTTGGCCAGAACGTCGCGCTCACCCTCGAGAACTCAATACTTTACGAGCTCTCTTCCCCGAATACAGACGCGGAATACCAGTCGCTCTATCCAGGCCATCACCGAGGTTTCGTTCACCTTGGACCCGACAAGCGGTTCTTTGGTCTTGCAATGTTCCACCAGATTCAGCAACCCTGCACGCGACACATTGCTTGAACTATCTGCGCCAGACCATTCTGTGCTCAGCGGATGTCACTCTGGAGCCAGAGGTTGTGGAGGGTTCGAGAGATGTAGGAGAAGGGGTCGGTGTGGTTCATGTATGTTGTGATTGGAGTAAGGTGTACGATTTTGTGGAAAAGAACGAGGCGGAGTGGGAAGCAGCTCTGCGCGAGGGAATGTAGAGCGAACATTGGGGTTGCATTGCAACACAATAGATGATTAAAGGATTTTGCAGTTGGTTGTGTAACAACAATCAACATACCTAGTTTCTGTCGTCTCCTAAGCTGTCAAGCTTGTCTTCAAAAAGCCCGAAAGCACTTTTTGAACGAGGTGCCACGGAAACGAAAGTGGTATGGTGTATCGTGCGCAAATAAATGCAAATATTGTGATACATTGATGAAGAAGAAGATCATCGTGATATGCTCGCCCTGGCAATACAGCTATCGGTGACCAATGACGCTAAACTGCCATCACTCAATGTTAGGAACTGCCAGTGCCAGAGTGAAAGAGACAAAAGCGAGAACGATAGGAAATGGCAAAAAGAATGGACATTCAGGGGATTGAACCCTGGACCTCACGCAATTACACATGCGAAGCGTGCGCGCTACCACTGTGCCAAATGCCCATGGTTGGAAATCTGAAAAAGCCTGTCATGATCACATTGCCGTTACGGATCGCTGAACCCACATACGCGTGCAGCGCGCACCCGCCACCGTTCCTTGGACTCACTGATTGTGCAACTGCTATTGGGCGTACACATCATCGAACGAGCCATGGACGTTGATCTCATCGACGAAACGGAAGGCCACGCGTTTGTGATACAGAAGTCTGCAGGAAAGCGGCCACAAGTCCTCCCAATAGATGATGCCCATCCCTTCGACTTGGAGGCATACATCTCTGGGTACTCAGGTGTGTCATTCATTCCGTTCCGTCCTTCAACATTTATTAAATCTTTGTCAACTTGCATTCAAGGTCGAGCAGCGGTCGATCGCTTGACATTCATCATCGCGGTATGCCCGTCGCTTGCGCCACAGGCCTTCCAGCTCGCGATCACTCAGATGCAGTCACTGCGCGACACGTTCCTTTACAACAAAACCGTCGAAGCGTACAACAATGCTCAGAAGCAGAACGAAGAGCTGCCCCCGCACACCGATGTGGCGATTATTGAGCAGGGATGGTCGGAAAATATCACGGCGAAGAACAATGCAGAGAGGACGAAATTGGAGGTGGAGTTGAAGACGTATTCAAGTAACATGATCAAGGAGAGCATTAGGGTGCGTGTCTTCCTCTTGATGTTTCTGTATCGCCGTACTAATAGTCCGGATGAATGAGGATAGATGGGCCACAGAGATCTAGGACTGTTCTATCGGTCTATTGGAGAGTACAGCACGTCCCTGAAGCACTATACGAAGTCTAGAGAGTTCTGCACAACGAGTCAACACATCCTTGACATGACGCTCTCCATTCTCGACGTACGTTTTACCTGCTAACACCTAGTAGTCTCGCGCTCTCATCTACGCGCTCTCCTCTCCTAGCTCCTCATGGAGCAGCGCAACTTCGCCCATATCCCCACTTATGTGTACAAAGGCGAAGCAGCATTGGAAGCTATCACAGGTTCTCGCGTTGCGGCAGCCAACAGTGGCAACCTGGCCTCAAAGCCAGCGGCAAAGGAGAAGGCTGTCGCTGAGCGTGACCGGATCCAAGCTAAATTGGACCTCGCACTGGCCATGTCGTATCTGGGGCAAGGGCAGTACGAGAAGGCTGCTCAGGCGTTCTTGAAAGTCGGGCCGTTATCAGGGCTGGATGGTTGGGCTGGTGTTGTGAGCACAAATTGTGTTCGCTTGGATCGAGTGTTGAAGCTGACGTTTGCGGCAGCTCATTGCACCAGGAGATATCGCCATCTACGGAACGTTGTGTGCGTTGGCGACGTACAGTCGCGCACAGATCCAAGCACAGTTGTTGGAAAACGACAACTTTGGCGTGTACATTGAGCAAGAACCTTACGTTCGTGAACTAATCGATGCCTACATGAGTAGCAGGTTCAAAACTGTCCTCGAGATCCTCGAACGATACTCTGTGAGTTTCATAGCCGTCTGATTGCTCACCGTGTATATTCTGAATCCTTTTAGACCCGCCACTTCATAGACATTGTGCTCTCCCAGCACGTCCCATTTCTAATGAACAGCATCCGCGAGCATGCACTGGTTCTTTACTTCCAACCCTTCGCGTCCATCAACCTTGAACGCATGGCAGCAGCGTTCGGGTGGACGTCTGAGTATCTAGAAGAACAGGTTGTGGCGTTGATCAAGAAGGGCAGTATTGAAGCGAGGGTAGATAGGCAGAACAAGGTCTGTGACTTGTTGACGCTGATAGGGTATGGTTGCTGATGGCGATCGTCCAGGTGTTGAAAGCACGTACGACAGACCAACGTGCTGCCCTCTTCCAGCGAGCTCTTAAGTCAGGTTCCGATATGCAGTCGACGAACCGGAAGCTCCTCCTACGTATGAGGCTGTACGTCAATTCCGCCACTCATCCCATTTTCTTTTTCATGATGGTTTCGTTCGTTCGTTTGAAAGGCAACAAGCAGACTTGGTCGTCAAAGCTCCACGTAATGCCGGTTAGAAGAGAGTTCATGACCTCCAGTTTTCGACACCCTTCCTTCCTTCCTTCATCCACTGGAAGTTCGTTCGTGTTTGTATTTTCACCGCTCTCAATGACCCTTGCTCCTGACTGTGACCTGCCTGTGAAAAGGATGTGTAGCATATGCGTTATAAGAACAAAAGACCCTATCCGTGTACTTGTTTTGAATCCAGGTCTGATCTGAATTGATTCTGGACTGTGTCTCATGAGGTTTCTGTCCCAGAGCCGTGTGAGTGATCGCCGTTGCCCCCGATGGGTAACATGAGGGTCACGGCGTAGCTGTCAATCACATACGTCAGGTCCGACCAGGTAATATGCACGGAGCCCCTTGTACAAGTTTCACATAAGGTAAGTTACATCGTATTGGAGAGCTTACTGGGACGCCACAATAAACTCAATGTAAGCGGGATACACGGCAAAGCGAATGATATATGCAATAAGCTACAAGAATCCGAGAACACAACCGGTGACAGTCCAAACCCAGAGGAACGTAGAACCTAGCCTTACCGAACCTGTCCAAGCAGTCCATTACGATAGGAGAGACGGGAGAGGGGAGGGTTTGGGGGATATCAAGAATTTATGGGGGTAAATATTTCACAATGGTGTAGTGATGTTGCGAATTTATGGTACTATATGCGAGAAGTGCGAAGGGGGTTGGGGGCGACGATAAGATAGGAGGTTCTTAGAGGAGCAAAGCACCGGCGGCAACGGCACCCATTGCGAGGACGACGTTGACGCCGTTAACTACGGCGCCGCTATCTGTCGTCGGAGCGGGGCTACAGAAGGAAAGAATTGTTGAGTTAAAACATTGACAAACATAGACCGGACTGAACATACGATGGGGGCGGAGAGGGAGTTTTGGATGGCGCGCCACTGGTGGTGGTGGCAGAGTTGGAGGCTGTCGAAGAGCCGGCGCCAGAAGTGGTGCCTGTCTGGCTGGGAGATTCGGAGGCAAGGGTCACACCCTACTCACAACGATGGCGCTTAGTTGTGGTTCAACTTTGAACAAAGAACAAGACGCACGACAGTGAGACAGAAACCCTGGGCTACGGCCTGAGCGGTGAGGGTGTCCTCTGGACTGCAGGCGTCGACAATACACTTGGTGGTGCTGTTGATGAAGCTGGGGCTCTTGCAGAGACAGTTAAGGTCATCGCTGAAGCAGCTGCCGACGTCGGCGTTCTGAATGCAAGGGTTGGCACAATCTGTGCGATGTGAGTTACGCGCCGTACAGGACATCGAACCAAAGTGAACGTACCAGGGTATTGGGCGACGACGGAGGCGACGAGGGCGGAGAGGGCAACGAAGACGGTGGCAGCGCGCATGGTGGGTAGGGAGGAGTTAGATAAGCCTGGGTAAGGACTGCGTGAAGGTCGAAGGACGAGACTCGTAGCAAAGCAAGAGGCAAGAGTTGCTGGAGGGGAGTGTGAGTGGTTAGCCCTGTTTATATATTGAAGTGATTGTCAATGATGGAAGGGTCGGGCCAGGGGAGACTAGTGAGTGGGAGAAGCGATGTGGACAAGGACAAAGGGCTGGACGTATTGAACACAAAGAGTGTTTAGCTGCAGAGATAATCCTCGGTCACCTATTGTATTATTTCCGGGGAATGCACATGCAGACGCAGGAACTGAGCGCTGAGCACAATCTCTTTCTTGAACGAACAAAGGGAACATCCAAATCGGGAAGCTCACTCAGGAACCATCGAAGGTACTGTACATCCCCTCGGGCACTGCCGAAACCTTGTTTTCAGCCACACGCGCCAAACAACCCAACACACCCCGGGCGAGTCCACAGCCAGCCAGTCCCATCTCGCAAAAGTCCCCAAGCTCATCGACGCCGACATCCTCAAGACATGGTGCGTCGTCCCGCTCATCGTATTGCTCGTTGTTGTCGCTGACATGCCCGTTCCAGGCCCCCACGACCACCACCAAAAAGGTGCATCCCACACCACACACACACCACCCATATCCATCCATATTGACCTCGTTCTACAGACCGGCAAGACGCGCTCTGCCTTGCAAGACGTCGTCACCCGCGAATACACCATCCACCTGCACAAGCGCGTTCATGGTCGCTCCTTCAAGAAGCGTGCTCCCTGGGCCGTAAAGTCCGTCGTTGACTTCGCACAGAAGGCCATGGGCACCTCCGACGTCCGGATCGACCCCAAGCTCAACCAGGCGTTGTGGGAGCGAGGTGTCAAGAGCGTGCCCCACAGGATACGGGTCAAGCTTGAGCGTGAGTTCTGTCGTGCTTTTTGGCGTTGGCATCGTGCTAATCCAAGCATGGGATGCGTCATTTGGGTTGGTTGGTGTTTTGGGTGATTAGGGAAACGTAATGACGAGGAGGGTGCCAAGGAGAAGCTGTTCACCTACGCGTCCCACGTCGTCGTTGACTCGTTCAAGGTACGCCTGCATTTGCCTTTATACCACAACTCTCGCTCAACCATAGATTGTAGGGTCTCGAGACAGTAGTAGTCGACGCCGAGTAAACATTGTCATTCTCTAGTCACTCACCCGACCTTCTATCATTCTCGTTGTATCCATCACTTGCGGGACGACGACGACGACCCTCAACCACATGCAGTCTCTCATATGCATTCAACCATCACCTAATGCATTCATCCCCCCTTACCCCGTCACTTTATGCTATGTCATGTCATGTCGAGCGAGATGCAGAATGCATTGATGCATGCGTGTAAATCAGGGACTTACCATCGTTGCTTGATGATTCCCACACTTTGAGCCCCAGGTATGTTCTTTCTCTTTCTCCGGCGCCCTTGTTCCACTCGATCATCGCTATCAAGGTCACACATGGACTGTGGCACTCATTCAACGCCGGAGTCTTATCTTGTCATCAACCCATGCAACTCCTCATTTCGCTCCGATGACTGGCTCCGTTCACGACACCCATATTCATGCAAGCTGTGAACTCGAGATTGGACCCCTGGTATCCTACTTGAGGACATATCCCGTGTGCGTACAGAAAAAA